CTATGTTCATCAAGGGATGTTCCTAATGGTTTCATGAGTAATAATGCCAACCTTGATCCTCAGCCTAGGGAATTTATAGCTGCACGCTTGCCTTCGTTCTCCCACCCACCCACTAAAGACATTGATAGGTAAAGACAGGGTTGAACCTATCAAACTATGAGTGAGAAAACCAACCAACCTGCCTTGTTTGTTCGTTTAAAGACAGTCTTCCTCTGTGGCCCAGGCTGGAGTGCAGTGGTACATCACAGCTCGCAACAGCCTCCAACTCCTGGGTTCAAGGGATCCTCCCACCTCAGAGTCCTGAGTAACTAGGACTAAAGGCATAAGTCACTGCATCCAGCTTCTAACTACTAACATTCTGGAAACTAAAATCTGCCACACTATATAAAAATCCAATTCTAATATCTGAAAAATTGGGTTCAGTGGAGTTTTAAGTAAGCCAGCTCGAATTTTTCTGTAGAAGAGACTCTCCTCAGGAAGACAGTAGTATGCACAGATTGTTCAACTTATGGAAAATACATTTGTGAAACACTAGTTAAACTAAGTTAAAGAGGTTTCTTTTTCTGAATCTTTAACATGCGATTACACATTATCATTCTCCAAGAAAATGCTAAAGCATGTGCCACTTGTCAAATTTATTGACCTTGAGTCTTTTATTAAATGAGTATCTTGTATTTCTAGTGGAGGTTCTGTAGAATATAGTCTGGGAAACACTGACATAGTAGTCATGTAGACATGTGCTTTAGGGATATTAGCCTGAAGGCTATATACATTGAGGATAAAGTAGAGAGTCAGGGGTGAAGAAAACAGGCTGTGTCCAGGTAAATATAGCCCAGGTGATGAGAGTGATTATTGAAAGCCAGCATAAATACATTGTGAATTTGCAACTGAATGGAAATAGGCAATAAGAACAGGACACAGGTGGCATAGAGTCATAGGTATTCAAACATACATTTGATTGGCTAGGAAAATGGACCTACTTTTCAGAAAATTGGGAAGACAAAAGTTTCACTTTAGTGGGATCTGGATAAACTCACCAAGGGAATGAAAAACATAATTGTGCTCAAAAGGCAGTTGAGCCTTCTGGCACTTACTGTTTCCTCCTATTGGCTTTCTTCTCTCTTTTCTTCCAAGTCACCCCTCTTGAAGTTGCACTTATCACCAGATTTAGCTCCTGAGGTCTTTTTTTCCTCTATCCCAAATGGATATGTAAAACACTCACCCTTCTTTTTAAGAGTCTTAAAACTTTAGTGCTGATGAGTAAAGGAAGTAAATAGCCTAAAAGGACTCCATTTCAACACATGCTAGTCAGTTGCTTAGTATGATATAATAAGCAGGGGAAATAATAATAGGAAGTTACAATGGCATTTTAAAAACTTATAGAAGGTTTAATTTTTAGGCTACTCTTAGAACTCATCTATTTTAGAAAGACAATATACCATGTTTAATCACTAATGTTGAAAATTCATTTTGTGCACTAATACATGAATTGTAGATAACATAGTCTGTTCTCGGGAAATGTAGTTGTCCCTGCTTTAGGTAGTAGTTTCACTGAAAGAGGTTTATGTTGGTTCTTGCTTCTACAATAGTCTTTGTGACTCAAGGGTTGCCTTGTAACTAGAATGCTACTGCAGATGTTAAGAACAAGGACAATTTAGATATTCACTGACTTGGACTTAAAATAACAAAGCACTTCTGTGAACAAGGTTCTCCTCTTGCCAAACAAAACACAAACCACACCATTTTCTTTTTCTGGCACATATACTGTTATTCAACCATAGCCCTACTCCTGGTGATTCCATGAGAGAAGAAACAGAAGTGAAGTCACTGGTACTTGGTTCTCCCTTGCTCTTGTGCACTTCCATATATGTATTTTTTTGAGGTGAAGTCTCACTCTGTCACCCAAGTTGGAGTGCAGTGGCACAGTCACAATCAACGCAGCCTCGACCTGCTGGGCTCAGGTGATACCTTCCACCTCAGCTTTCCTAGTAGTTGGAACTACAGGCACACACCACCACACCCAGCTACTTTTTTTTATTTATTTAGAGATTAGGTCTCAACAAGTTGCTCAGGCTAGTCTCGAAACTGTGGGCTCAGGCAATCCTCTCACCTTGGCCTCCCAAAGTGCTAGGATTACAGGCTTGAGCCACCGTGACCGGCACACTTCTGTATTCTTATGCCAGACTTTTCTTCCCTCATTTCACCTCTCATCCTCTTTTCCCTGATAAACTAAAGAATATTTAATGCTGAATCATTTTGTTGGTTTTAATTATGAGCCAACTGCTCTGCCTGGGGCAGCCCCAATTTATGCCTGTCACTTCAGCATAATTGATAGCAACCTCTTCCATTCTCGTGTCCTGGTTTGCTGACAGGGTTACCCAATGTATATCTAATTTAAAAAAAATTCAATGGTTTTAGTGGGTACAAATGAGTTTTGGCGACATTTGATGCATTATATAGTGGTGAAGAAGTCTAGGCTTTAAGTGTACTCTCCACCCTCACCTATGTACAATGTACCCATTAGGTGATTTTTCATCCGTATCATCCTCTCCCCATGTCAATGTCCATTATGGTATCTTTTATGTCTTTGCAGTTCCTTAGCTTAGCTCCCACTTACAAGCGAAAATATGCAGTATCTTTCTGTTCCTGCATTTACTTCACTTAAGATGGTCTCCAATTGCATCCAAGGTGCTGCAAAATACATTGTCATCCTTTTCATGGCTGAATAGTATCCCAGGTTGTGTGTATGTGTATGTGTGTTATGTACACCACATTTTCATTTTCCACTGATCAGCTTATGGACATTCAGGTTGAGTTTTCTTTTTCATTCCCCTAATTCCACATTTCCAGTTATAATCACATTTATCTGTATAGAACGGTAGATTGAGGAAAAAGCTAAAAAAAGTCATCGAGTCCTATTTCACACTATTGAGAATTCCTCTAAGTCCTTCACAGGATTCAGCCTCTATCTGAGCTTTCTGGCAGCTAATTCATTATTTTTTGAGGTGGCATTTTTCACTAGTAGGCATCTCCAAGTTTTAAGAAAATCCTCATCTTCATCCTAAATTTTATTATTCTATCTCAAGCATGGGTTTTTGTAATGATCAGGTTAAGCCATCCATTGTATATTATGAACTAACTTCTTTTTAGGTATCTGAATTGTTATATAATATTCTTGGAACAATTGAGAAAATAATCACTCAAATATTTCTATATTCACATGAGGAAACAAAATTAAAAGGCTGCAAGGCTCTATCATTTACTAGCTGTGTGACTGGAAAGTTTGCTTCATCTCTTTCAGGTTGTTTCTCAGCAACAAAACTTAAGTACAGTACTTCTCTTACAGGTTGCTATGAGAATCATCAAGTAATATATAAAGCTCCATAAGAGAACTTATCTATTGTGTTCACTGTTTTATTCTAAGTGCTTAATGCAAGCAGTAGCAGGCACAGAATAAGTCCTCGAAACATGATGAATAAAAGTCCTAGCACACTGACTTGCAAATGGCACTCAGTAAAAGCACTCAACAAAAAATAGCAGCAGAATAATCAGCCAGGTAAGAGAACTAGGATAGTGTAGTACTATGAAAAGCCACTGCAACTACTACTTATTTTTATTACTGTACCTAATGAACAGCTCAGAGTGGTGTTTATTCACTTATTAGCCTCCCCATCCAGAACACACTCCTTGATTGCAGGACTATGTAAAGTTCATCCAGTGCTTACCAGAGATCTGTAAACATTGTTGAACAGTTGAATGAGTTAAGACAAGAAATTTCAAGGAAGATGCCATACAGTCAGTAAACAGTTTTCTGACAAGAGACTGTATGACTAATGTTTCTACTAGCGTATTGTGGGACATCAGTTTCAGATTAAGGAGCTGGGATTGAGGGCAAATAGTACAATTACAAATATAGAGTGAAAAATAGTTTGGAGTCTTTGGCAAACAAAGGAATGTAAATTGATTTAAGAATGTTAGTGAAAGAAAGGTTAAGGTTTAGGCATTGTTTTTCTTGTTTTCAGTGTGATTGAGATTGGAGCTTGTAGATACACTCTGAAAAAAAAAAGTAGCAGGGTGTGGTGGCTCACATCTGAAATCTCAGTATTTTGGGAGGCTGAGGCAGAGAACTGCTTAAATTCAGGAGTTCAAGATCAGTCAGGTCAACACAGAGAGACCTCGTTTTCATAAAAAAAAAAGTTTAAAAAGAGATTAAAACGTGAATGGGGGAATGGAAGAGGGTAAGTTCTAAAGAAAAGACTTAAGGATAAGCCAGTTAATTAAAAAATGAGCACTTTAGTCAGGCGTGGTAGCTTATGCCTGTAATCCCAGAACTTTGGGAGGCGGAGGCGAAAGGAATGCCTGAGCTCAGGGGTTCAATACCAGCCCACGCAACATGGTGAGACCTCGTCTCTACAATTAAGAAAAAATATATATATATTAGCCAGGTATGGTGGCACATGTCTGCGGTTCCTGCTACTTGGAAAGCTGAGGTGGAGGGATGGCCTGAGTCCAGCAGGTCCAGGGTGTGGTGGCTGTGAGCATGCCACTCCAGCCTGGGCAACAGAGTGAGACTCTTACTCAAAAAAAGAAAGAAAGAAACGCTCATTTCTTTTTCACCAACGTGGTAAAGGGAAGCGTCCAAGGTAAAGAGGTAGGGAATTACTAGTCTCAAAGTAGGGGAACTGGCAGGGGAGGGGTTGAGGAACTCGGAGAGGTGTGGACCCCTGACGGGGAAGATGCGAAATCAGAGAACCGCTGCCCTCTGGGGACGAGGACCCCACCAGCCCAGCTTTGTGGCGACCTAGGGAAAATCCCTTCTGCCTCCTCCTTCCTGATCTAATCCCCCTGGCTGCATACGACCCCCTGAACTAATCAGCAGCCGAACTTCCCTTCGTGCTAGACTGCCCCCACACAACTCCCCAGGAGCCGACTACACGAAAACACAGCCCTCTGAAAGTAAGACGACGACGAGACGGCTATTACTCCAAGAAAGGGTTTCAGAGAGCCTGTTGACAAGGAAATGGAGGGCCGGCGGGAAGGCGTGCGTGTTAGAACAAAATCTGGGCGGCGATGACGCTTCCCAAGGCAAGCAGGCGCTGCTGCAGCACGCTTCTCAGGAGGTCGGCTTTCCGCTCGGGGATCCGGTAGGGTGTGAATCTGGCCTGGCGGCTCTGGGTCCGGGCATCCGGCTCCCTCCCCTTCATAAAGCAGGCTGGGCTCCGACCGCTACCACTCGCCCGACGGATCTCGGAGCGAAGGCTCAGCCGCACCGCCGGCCAAGGTCCTGCATGAAGAGTCCCCTCGGGCCTGGCGACGAGGCAGCTGTCTCCGGAGACCATCGCCAACGCCAAGGCCGACGCGTTGAGGGCGTCGCGGGAAGATCGGCTGGCCACCCGATTCCCCCGATCGCCGGCGGAGAGTGACGCGCCGTTCGAGGCCATCTTCAAACACCGCCCGCAGTATCTGCGTTAGGTCCCTGGACGACGTGGGCCCCGGGCGGCTCCACGGGTCAGTCTAGCCGGTC